CACTTTTCAGATTTTAGTCCAAAAAGATAAGGAATGAACCTATTATTATAATGCTAATAATCCATTGAAGAAATGAGCTATACATTTTAGTATCTTTTAAAGTTTGTTATTTACTTAATGGTTAATCGTCTGAAAACAGATTCTGTAAGTCGGGGCCAACATAGCTGATATCCCATATATGTCCATATGTACATACGTGTGTGCATAAATATCAAGGATATTTTATATGAAAAATGGGAGAATCGGAATGTTGGTATTCGTAATCTAAAACTAATTCAGATACATTTTTATATTTTATAGCTACCGCTTTTCGTATAGCCAAGGCCTATGATAAAAGTAAAGAGTGTTTATTAAAAGCTATCGAATGTCACAAAAACAATCGGTCGTGGTTTCACGCTGCAAAATGCTACGAGCAGGTGGGGGATTAATCAGAGTATATTAAATTTCTGCATTCGCAAACATTGTATTGTTTTATATTTTTAAGATTATTCTCATATTAAAAGAAACGAACTGCTTACCGGAAATTGAAGAAAACGTGAATAAAGCCTGTAACTTATACCAGCAACATGGATCACCTGAAGCAGCTGCAACGGCTTTAGACAAAGCCGCAAAAATTGTAGAACAAAAGCATCCCGAATTAGCTCTAACATTCTATAAACATGCTCTGGAAGTTGTTATGGTATGAAAAGAAAAACACTTGAGATAATCTTGAACTAATTTCAATAGTTTTGCTAATGACAGTTAGATGATTCCACACGCCATGCTGCTGAATATGCATCGAAAATTTCAAGAATTTTAGTAAAATTGCAAAGGTGAGCATATTGAGGCCCAAAATATCCCAAATAGTATTTTATGTATTTATCATTATTCATTTCATCAATAGGTATGATCAAGCTGCAGATGCAATAAGACGTGAGATTGGTTTAAATCAACAAACCGAGTCTTATGGACAAATCGGGCGTTTAGCGGTAGCACTTGTTTTGGTTCAGCTTGGCCGAGGTGATTTTGTGGCAGCTGAAAAAGCTTTTAAAGAATGGGGAAATTGTTGTGATTCAGAGGAAGTTCAAACACTAGAACTGCTTTTGCAAGCTTTTGATGACGAGGACCCTGATTCAGCCAAACGGGCTTTAGCAGCTCCTTTTATTCGCCACATGGATGTGGAATACAGTATTCTCGCTAGGGACATTCCATTACCACATGGTTTGTCAACCGCTCCAAAAGCTGATGTGATCAAAGACGCCGCTCCTTCCTATATGTCGCCAAATACAGAGGTATGTAAAGATACTCTTTTAAGTAGAACCGATTTCCCACTACTAAGTCGAGAGCACTATTTTACTTGTTACAATTAGTGCAGCTTTAAAAGTTATTCTGATAAGAATTGTAATACTCCGACAATCGTAATAATTTCTTCATTCTCTCATTAAGTTAAGTGGGGTTCGGTTCAGTGAAGTTGGCTCTAATCTTAAACCTACATAGTTTTTAAATTTTCTATTTTAAAACAGATATCTGATGATGGTTCAAATAAAGCTGATGTACCTGTCGATGACGAAGAAGAGGATGAAGGATTGTGTTAGTCAATATTAACTAGTTATATTTCTAAAGCTAATATTCGTTTTGGTATTTAATAAGGTTAATAAAAGTTTACTCCCTTAAGAGATGTGTCCATTTGTTTTTCTTTTTAGCTCGATCCTTCTTGCCTTTATTTATAATTAGATACATATATGTGTACGTACTTTTGATAGTAATTTGTAGTTTGACATTTAAATGCATTAAAATATATTCACCCATGTATGTAAAACTTAATTCTTAAATCGACTTTGGTGGTTAGTATATAATTAGCGGTCGCTGTGGTGTAGTGGTTAGCAGTGCGCGCTACCACTCCGCAGGGCCTGGGTTCAAGCCCTGGTCAAAGCAACATCGCAAAAAAATATAGAAAAACTGTTTTTTCATAACGGGCAATGGCGAGTATTTCTGCTGTCAAAAAGGGCTTATAAAAATACAAGCGCCGTTTGGTGTCGGCGTAAAATTGTAGGTCCCTCCTCTTTGTGTGACAACATCAAAGCGCACGCCACACAAAAATCGGTGGAGAAGCTCGGCCAAACACTGACATATGTGTAAGCGCCAATCTATTATTATTATATAATTAGAAGAGATTTGTCATTATGATGTTTGACCATTTATTTTTTCTTTATTAGATTACTACAACGAAAACCATATAAATATATACTTACATACATACATTACTAAAAATTTTAAACTTTGTACAAGATTATAATAACTCAAGAAATTTAAAAAATTGTGATCAAAACTGCAGACTTTTTAATCGGAATTTCTAGAAGAAAATCTGGTATGTGGTTCAAAGCAGATGCCATTTTATTATATTATTTTGGAAGTTGGACTAGCTCAAAAATTTCGTTGATTTTTTTGCTGACGATGTTACGTATTTTCTTGCTTACGATGTGTTGTCGATTTTTTTTTTTTATATGAGAAAAATTACTAGATTTGTTAGCTAATTTAAATTAAATCTAATTAAGGAAAAATAAATGGTAAGAACTTCTAAAAACCAAAAGTTCCAATTATCGGTCCCCCAGTGTACATATGTACTTTGCATGCATAATTCAAGGTTTGATAACCTGGCAGTTGTTTCGCTCAAACGGCTGCCTTAGCGCTAGTACCTTAGTGCTTGTTTGCAAATTTAGTTGACGTTGAGTTTGCAAAACTTATATTTTTCTTTGAAAAATATGTTATCAACTATATGCTAAAATATGTATATTTGAGATAGCATAAAAATGCCTTTCATTTGTTTTGGTTTTCTTGTACGTAAGCGTATTTTTTTATATAAAAATACAAATCAGATGAGAGGTATTTTAATTACATACTTTACCAACCATACCCTCGATCGGTTCAATATTTTTCGATATATGTATGTATAAGCTTTTCAAAATATTGACTTTTTTTCTAGCTCGACGGGGCCTTTTTTCACACAAAGATTCCTTCTTTCCCCTTATACTGCGCAACCTTTTGTAAGAGA